TCTTGGGACTACCGGTCTATAGAATCTATTGGATCCCTCTTTGGGTTGAAGCAGCCTGCGTTGTCCGGAGGTTCTGGAGTCCGGTAGTCCCAAGAGTGCCCTGGCTCTACAAAATGACAGTCCGTTGTTGAGAGTGCCCTGGCTCTACAAAATTAATATACCCTATGCATCCATTACAAATTATTGGTGCCCAACGCAGTCTAAAACCACTATGAAATCGTGGGGTCCATCGTCACTTTTCCAAACAAGTTGATGTTATCTTAACCTCCTGGTTTGTATGAAATGCTGGGACTCATCGTCATTTCTTGGCTGGTAGGGCTCCAGCGTCTCGAGTACAAAATGCTTGGCTACATCCCCAGGATCTTAGCTATCTTTCCAACTTAAAATGTCCTCGTAACGCCAAATTCGTGGTATAAAACAAAAATTCAGACATCCATTACGAATCAAGAGCCCAGCAATCTATACAAAAACACTTTGTTTTCCCATCATTTTGTAGAGACCACCCTGTGTCCCGAAAATTTGTGGCTACAAAATGTGGGCCCCATCGTCACCTATGAAATCTCAACCGGGATCTTGATTTATATATCCTTGACTCTTATGTTTCTTCATGAAGTCAAGATCATGTGTCATCACAGGAAACCGGCGGCAAATGACATCAAGTCAAGAGGCCGCCGTCGTCATCCCAGCCAGTCGTCATCCCAACCAGTATTCGCAAAATCGAGGCCAGTACAATCAGCTGTGAAGCCTGGGTGCCAAGTTGCAACGGTTAACACGACACAGATCTCGTGATAAGGATCTAGTTTTAATACACGGATCTAGCGTGCTTATTGTTTGAAAGGTTGTTCAACATCCATGTTTGATGGTTTGGGCCTTCGCAGACGGTTTCGGCTCCGTTCCAATCTGATTGGTTCACCGAACACGTTGAGATTGAAAGCCTTGGAACCATCAGTGGACCATCAGGTGAACAGTTTTGTCAACCCGTTTCAGTTCCTGATTCAATTATTGACAAGCATGGACTCCTTGATTGTCATTGTGTGTGTGTTTTTTGGCACAAGTACATTCGTGATGATATTGACGAAGAAAAACATTATGGCAAAGTGCAAATCTGGTTGTGGCACGTTTCTTCCTATTATTGTTGGAACTTTTTTGTCAATGCCTTCAGCGAACAATGATGTCGCTGAGCTTGCACGGGCTGTGGCTATCATAGCAGAGGAGCTGTCGTATAAACTCAATACAAGAGAGCGTAACTCACAGGGCGAGCCCTGCACACTGAGTTTGTCCTAGTTGCCGTGAAACAATACCAGGTTCGAGTTGGCTGCATCAAATATAATTGTGAGACGTACCAGTAGACATAGATCAATCGAAGAAGTCAACCAATCAAGTCAATGAAATCTACACACTCACTACACAATGAAGTCAACATGAGTTGCAATATATTGCAATCGGTTAGTTCATCAAACTACGTTTTTGTCCTTTCCTGTCCTGCCATGCGTGGTTCTCGAAGCACCTCAATGATGGTAAAGCGAGGGACAGTCCAGAGTCCTGTGTGTTTCACTGGTGTGGGTTCGTTTCATTGGTGTGGAAGGTTTGAACGATTGGGTTGCCCTGAATTGTTGGTCATTTTGCCTTTATTCCAGGGCGGAAGGTTTCCCCAACATTATGTCCTTGTGATTCCTTGTGTGTGTGTGATTGCAGCAACTCACCTTGGATTCAGAGGTAGTCTTTTGACAACCGCACTCAACGAAGCTACCACAATCATGGCATACCGAGTCTGATCAACTCGGCGTACCCGCACCGGAAGTTGTGAATGTTTTAGCCATTCTCCAATTGTAGAGGCCTTCAGGCTGAAGGATGATTCAAGCCGGCAGTCATTCATTTTGTTCGTTCGATTTTTGGAAGAATGGGGACTTTGGGACTTTGAGACCTGGGTTTTGAAATGATGGTTGGACCCTCCTGGATAGTATATATACAATTACCTGGTTTTACTCGGATGTTTTTTAAACTCAGGCATCTTCTAGGCATTCGCAGCCGTCGTACGTACTCAATCCCAAGTGCGTGCAGTAGTTCAACTAATGTTGAGCTCATTTGATCGGTGATGTACATGCCTGAAAGATCTTCTATCAGAGGGGGTCGTGAGAGGGTGCAAGACTAGACGAGACTTTGGTTTGAGTCCTCTTCACCTGAGAGCAATAACGAAAGAGAAAACGGAGAGGAAAACTGAGTGGAAAGGGAAGAGAAGGGAAGATGAGAGAAGCAGTGGACAAGAGGGAGGAGCTCAAGTGGAAATGGGAGAGGAGTCCGAGAGGAGAGGATGAGGAAGAGAGAAGTTGTGAAAAAGGATGGGTCAGCGAGGAGAGAACTGGGAATGTAAAGGACAGAGGCTGACAGAGGCGTTCAGAATCAATTTTTCCTAAACCAGTCTTGTTGGTAACATATTGTCATGGACAAGCATGGACCTATTCGCAACATCAGGCTAATTACATCAGCTACAGCTACATTTAGGCCAGGATAGGAAGGCCGATGTGACTTCACAGAGTGACTGACCTGTCTTTTCTCATAGATTGCTTACCCACTCAGCATACTGCATAGAGCCTTCAAACAAAACATGTTCAATGTTCGACTGCCTGTGCCAACCGTTTAAATGTGGGTGGAGAAGTCTCGGTGGAACCCGAGCCAATGAGACTTTTCAGCAAGTAGTATTTGGTGCTGCAATTTCCTTCCCAAATTTTGGGACATATCCCTCAGGAGGATCCGGAAGCTGCTAGAGGCTTGCTGGGAATCTCTGCATTTCAGGCGCATCAATGGTTGGAATATTGATGCAACTATGATAGAGTCTGATTTACTTTACCCAAAACAGTTACACTTCAAAACGTAAACTGTTGGGGGCACTTGACCACACCGTGGTTGGGACTGTGACTCTCTCTTCGGTCTTGTGATGGTCCAACAGCGACTTAGCCAAGCCTTTCTGTCGTGTCTTCACAGAGTCTGATCCCATGCTGGAGATGCCTCCAAGAGGTCCCACAAATCCAGAGAACCAAGGGCCTCAAGGGCGAATGGACAGCAAGAAATACATGTTGATCAATCTTCACCCAAAGCTGTTTGTTGTGTCCGGTAGTAAGGGTCCAAGGTAGGAGGATTTGAGAGAAATCTAGAAAGTTGAGTTCTACTCCTTTTTGGTGGTGTAGATGATTCAAACAGCGTTTCAGACACGCTCCTGTAGGCGCCGCCACCGGCGAGTGTCGCCACATTGGTAGACCACTCAGCCTTTGGACGCTTGGCCCAGAGATGTGATGCCTTCGAGGACTTCGAAGTTGAGGCAACATGCAACGTTGCCGTGGTCGGCAGCAGCGGGTGTGGGAAGAGCTGCCTCTTGAGATGCTTTCTGGGAGAATCCATTGATTCCGAGCGGCTCGGAAAAGGCATAATTGTTGGAGAGAGATTGAGATACATGAAATCATGAGACACAATAAAGGATTGCAAAACACACTCCTGGGCCGGGATATTGTTTTTCGTAGTTTCGTTCAATTTGGGTATATGTACGCTTACCTTTTGCTCGCCCATGAAATGTGCCTTGGCAGTTGCTTGAGGTATCACCAAACATTGGTGACAAACTTCAAAGAGAAGAAACTGCTGGTTGAAACGGGCGAAGAAGTGACATTTCATATTTGGGATACTCCTGGTTGCTTGGCCTGACTTGAGGGATATGTTTGGTTTTTGTGATCGCCTGTGCCACCTGACCGGAACAGATTGACAGATGCTGGAGCAGGTGGGGTGTGAACCCTTCGACACATGACCCCCAGTTTGTTTTCATCCTGGTTTCCAAAGAATGAGATCAAGCCGTCTCATCCAGCTTCACAAACAGAAAAAACAACACATTAAGCCGGAACATCCAAGGTTGGACTTGATGAAACTGTGAAACAATATGTCGACATGCACACGAACACAGGTTTGGACGACCCACATACGCTGGTCGAGAGACACTGCTCTCAAGCGAAAGCCTGCATTCTCGCCTATGCATCCGACGAAAGGAGACTGCTTTGGGTGGATGTTTTCCGTAAGTAACGTTGTCCCAGTGAACATGTAGGATCACAGTGTGATGCAGGAGCTCCTTGGAAGTCGCAGAGCGTTGGGCCATGATCTTGCGGGAGGTTTGCAAAGAGCAGACCATTTTGGCCTCTCGGCCGAACCAAGTCCACCGCTCCCTCTTCGCTTGCGAGACCACGACAGCTGCAGCTGGCTGTGTTTGGCTTTTTGCAGGTGATGGCGCGCTGCAAAGACGATTTGGGTGATGAAGTGAGTCGAAAGGAAGGTCAAGAATTGGCAGACAGGCCAGGACTACACTTGCCAAGTACTTCATGTTTGGTGATTGAATGTAGAATGCCTCGATGGTTTGCCTGTCCAACCAACGGAAACTCAAAACCTTTGCACAAGGGAGAATATGTAAAACAGATTATACCCTGGAGATTCATTCTCCAGGAAATTTTCCGTGGACTTCGTAGTTGGCCTGTTTATCTGGCAAAACGCTGGCTTTCTACCGCAAACTCCTAAGAAGCCCCAAACTCCTAAAACCACAATCCTAAGACTTAGCTGGTGCTTGGGAAATCAACATGTATCACACAAACTACCAACTTTACCCACCAAACTCCCGCAAAAAAAACATCAAAATCCTGCGACAACCTCAGCAACACAGACATAAACACCTGCAAATCCAGAAAAGTCGTAGACCGTGTTGGAAACTCACCAAGAACAAAGAGGGGATGGTTCAGGATGATTTGGTGATCATTGCTACTGCTGTACCTTGTGTTCACATCACAACAACCTAATTATGCACACTCTTTTGGCAAACCAATAAACAGTTCGGACACCGCTGAGTCAAATGACACAAATGACTTGTTCGAATCTGTTTTGGACATTGTCTCAGGCTTCGCATTCGGCACTTCATCCTCAGCGTAAGCAGTTGACCCAGTTCTGCAGTTTTCCGCCAGAGTTCATATGTGCTAGAGGTTGAACAAGCGCTTTTCATTTGAATAGGCTTGTTTTTGAAAGTATGAGAGACGTTTGTCACTTAATTACGTGGCAGAGTTAATGCTGGGGGCACCTGTGTTGGCTGTTGCATCAAATGAAGGATCAAGAATGAGGCACAGTCAAGACAATCAGCACCACCAAGGGGCTGTTGCCGGAAATAGAACTGCAAGGTCTTGCGCCATTCTTGTAGTACATTGTCATATCATGTATCCTGCCATTGATTTGGGTCCTTTTTCAATAGTTCTATTCTTTGAGTATGCTTTGTAGAAGGTTGTTTTTGGTCAACTTTTCTTTGACATTTCAGGGCTTGGTTGTGAATTGCACCGAACGATGACTATTCGTTTTTCGTTCCATTCCCCCGAACCGAACCATCCACCTCCTAATCGCTGACTATTTGGACCCACAGGCGATCGTCAATCAACGTTGGACATGTTCGTCCACATTGCCAAGGACCTGCATGTCCAAAAGTGGGGGAACCCCCTCTTGCTGCAGAATGGATCCGTCAATTTAGTGAGAAACCGCAGCCCATGCACAGAATGTGAAGCAACCAATTGAAGCCACCAGGTTTGGATCAACATGTGTTTGTGCAATTGCGTGGAGCCGAACTGTGTAATAGTGCAAAGGCGATGCAGTTGATGCGGAACTTTCCTCGGAAGTGTCTGTGTGGAAGAGTAGGGCCTTGCCTGGACTCCGAGATTACGACCTGAAGACGGTAGGGACTCTGGACCGTATCCAAAAAACAGGTAAAGTGTGATTCTTTTGGGGTTTTAGTTGGAGGAGGTTGCACTGAAGGTTGTATTATGTTTGGTTTATATAAGTTTAAGTTCGGGCTTTTCTTCCTGGTGCCTTTGGTGTCTTTTGCTTTTTGGCTTTCGTGGCTGGCTTTTGGTTCGTGTGGAAAACCAGATGAGCATTCGTTTGGATTGTTATTGCAGGGCCACGTGGCGCCCTCCCACCAACTAAATCCAGTTTTTCAAACATGATCGAACTTGAAGTGCAGCGCCATTTTGATGAGTGCTTGCACGTACTCCCAATTGTTGAGGTCGCAGCCACTGTGTGAGTTGTGCATGCTGTGATGTGAGAGTTTGGTCTCAAGCTCTGTAGCCATGGCAAATGATCCCTCCCCTCGGCCTCGGTGGAAAGCGCGTTTGCGCGAGTCCGTGCCATTGGGGGAAGGAAAGCATGCTGGTGTAAACGCGGCGTGTCGCTGTGGAGCGGGATGATTGGTGGTGCCCACGAAGCTTGGTGTTGCATGGTTGGTCAATGGTTGATCATGGTTGTAAATAGAGAGTTTGTGGCAGGTTACCCAAGTGACTTTCAATGGCTGCGACTTGATGGTAGTGAACCCGGTATCCAATGCTAGCCATGTCAGGAGATCCTTGGACAGATTCATGAGACCGAGGAAAGACTTCGTGAAGGAGAATCGATTCACGGACTGCAGTGACTTGTCACGCCGTTGACTACGTTGAAATTTGGTAGCCTCAGGGCCTCAGGGGTGTGCACGGGTATGCTTAGGCAATTTCGAGCGAGCGTGGGCGCGATCATACTCGCTTTCTTTTCGACGCAAGTTCATTCCTCTTGGTGTTTTTTTTGATCTCCGGCTGTGCTTACTGAAGCCTATCTTCGAGAATGTTGTTGGAACGGAACAAAGCAGTAACACTGGTGGTTCCCTCCGCACACAACTTCATATTGCAACCACATGAGTGGAGCGTGTTGTGTACAACGTCAGACGCAACATGTTCAACATTTATGTCCGACAACAATGTCGTGGATGTTTCATTCCTTCAATGTGCATACATGACATAACAACACACAAAGTATGTAGTTACAATTGTTAGATCGTATGAATGTGTATGAACTAGTATAATTTCGACACCACTCGGCTTCATAGAAAGGTAGATCCCAGGCGGATACCTGTAACACATACAACAACACACATCAACACATTCTAAATACAGGCGATAGTGACGATCGGTCTTACGATGTGCTGAACGCACGTCCACTGCTGTCCAAGGTGGGCCGATGAAATCCCAAGCTGCACTGCATGGTCTGAGCGTGTGGAAAAGAGTTGGTTTGGATGGAGTAGTAGAGCTGGAACTCCCTGCTTTCCTGACGATGCAGGTGTTTTCCGTCGACAGCAGGGGTGGGGTATGGTGGGGCAGTTCAATGAAAAAAGGTTCCTCTTGTCGAGGCAATACCTCCTCCGCCCGCGCCAAAGAGCCCGATTCTCAAAGCGAGCTGAAGGGTGTGAGAGGGGTACGTGTTGTGTGTTGATTTTTGAGAAGATGAGAAGTGCAATGCTGCAAGATTCAGAGTTTCTTGCAAAAAGATGACCAGCGAAGAGTTGTTAGTCATCTCAAGGTGTAAGCCAAAGAGCGCCAGTGGATCAGAAAGGTCATTGCAACGGTTGCCCGTCGATTGGGTTCAATTTTCAACCAAGAAGTGAAGCAATAATTGGACCCCCAAACACCTACGACGCTGGTCATTGCTGAGTTTGAGTCTTTGTTTGTTGTAACATGTTGTAACACTGAAGAAACTGGTTGACGGCTAGTGCAATTGGAAAACTGCAAGCGGTCAAGTTATGATAGATGAAGACCTGTGAAGATGCACCAAGTCGGTCCAAATTGGGCTCGACACCAATGGATTCCGACCTTGGCACCATGATGCATGCATTCAGCTGCTGTGCAGGGGAGAATGCTGATTCACGAGTGGGTCCACAAGGCAGGGGCAGTTCCTCACAGTAGTTTTTACAAAGATACTGACTTGATTTGACTTGTACCCAGTTACAAGCCACTTAAAGATTTAGTTGCTTTTGTCTTCTTGGAATCGGACGCTGCAGGAAAGAATGGTCCGCCTCTGAGATTTCGCAGCAGCGAACGAGCCCAAAAGATCAGCATTCAGTATCTTCTTCCAAGGCTTAGAACCAAAGATCGCAACAGATCAACTACAGTAATAAAAGGGAATTACTTTTCACCTGAGCCCATGAATAACTGGAAAAGTTGAAACTTGTCCTTTTCCATTGTGCTTAGGCCCTTCTGCATCTGCCTTGCCGCAATTGTCGCGCCCACCAAAAGCAGGCGGGGCTCCAGCCGTTGCGGCACCACCACCGATGTTTGCCCGGAAGGTGCAGGTGGACTTCCGAAGGTGCCGAGAGTGGTCGCGGAGCCAGGCTGCTTGATGGCGCGTTCTGGTACTCCACAGAGAGGATTAGATAGAGGATTTAAGGGCTCACGTCTAAGAGCAGGCTGCACAGGCAGGCAGGTGCAGGCGTCAGGCGCAGCCCTTGTACGGCACAGGCGACGTGAGCAGGGCAGGTGCAGGCGTTTTCTGTCTCTTTCTTTGGAAGGGGAAGAAAAATTAGCAAGCAGAAGCGCAAAGTGCTAATAATGCAAGGCCGCTCGGACAGCATATCCCGCACCACGGGCTTTGAAAACGACTTGACAGCAATCAACATATCCATCTTGGAGCTATGTTGAGGCTATGTTGACCCAGTTCTAAAGAAATTCTTCCGTCTCACGCTCTCCCTAGTGGCCCATGGCCCATAGAGCGTCCCCGCGGCTGCTAAAAAAAGGTCATCAACATGAGTACTGTCTTCAGAAAAATGTCAATGCCGCTGTAGCCGTGCACATTTTCAAAGATCTGCCTTGAACTTCCACGTTTTGGAACATAGCAAAGCTACTTTTTCGGACGGGAAGTGCAGGCACTCTTTTCATATTATCGCTCAGCGAGTCTTCTTTGCAATTTTGCAAGCTCATTCAACAACTCTGTTGGCGCACATGGTCCGAGGAATCTTGTCACCAACTTACGGAGCTCTAGATGTTCTTTGACTCCATGACTGCCAATTCTTCTAGCTACTAAGAGCGATGCCCTTGTTACTAGTAGTTTCTTCTTACTAGTAGTAGAGCCAGGAGCTACTAGTTTTGTCCTTGCTACTAAGAGCGACGCCCTTGCATGATGCCGGAATTAACTTTTTGAGGCTCATGCCATCCACGATCAATCTGCGTTCCAGCTGCAGTTGAAATGGGCATTTTTTTACTTGTTACTAGCGTCCTTGCTACTAGTAGCAATGCCCTTGTTGCTAGTAGCGACGCCCTTGTTACTAGTAGTTTCTTGCACAGTAAAAAAATATTTGGTTCTACTTTCGGAATAACTTGTCATACTTCATTGCACGCGCCAATAATATGAAAACCAGGAGAAAACCACATGGCAGGGGTCCCACTACTTGCATGATCAGAAGAGACGGCAAGTTGCAGGGTAGTTAGTTAGTTCAAGTGCTTTCGGGTGCAATCCAAGAAACACGCTATAAGGATCTATATATAAGGAAATTATTTCTTTTGCCAGGTGAAGTCTATGTTGCTGTGCATCCACTTTCTTCAGTTGCGACCAACTTAAGATACCTTCCACTGCAAGTGTTTTCCTCGTTGATATGAACGCCAGAACGTAGATGCCATATTCTGCATGTTTCTGCAGGCGCTTGCACACTTTGTTTCAGGTTCCATTGAATGACTGCGCATGCATGTATATTGATCATTGATAAGTTTCCTTGACTGATTTGAGTTGTACCTCTTGATGCTTGGTACACCTTGCGTTTCTCCCGGCGTCCAGGTGCTGCTGTTCAGACAAACAAAGCAGCAGATGAGTCTCCTTGCGATGCAGGTTTGCTTTACACATTTTTCCAATGACTCGCAAGTGTTGCTTCGGTCCAATTCGGAGCTTTCTCATTCGGTCGGGTTCCTTCAATCGAACCTCGCTGATCGTCGCAGCGTTCTCGCTTGATGCTTTGCAGGTGGCTGCTCGGAAGCTGTGCAAGATCCAGGAGGCATCACAGAGCCAACAATGAGTTCCATGAAGCAACGACCAAGTCGCATGCTTCCTTTATACAAACACTGACTAGCATGGAAGTGGCAAATCGTTCCTTGGAAGCCACTTTCCTCAACAACCAGGGGGCTTTCCACTTCCAGTGAGTGAGTATTTCTGTCGATCTTCCACATCCAGTGTCAGTGTCCAATCACCAGACCTTCCTGAAGAGGCTTGCAAGATGGGAGCTCGAAAGGCTGCCTGCCTCCCATCGGCCATGTGGAACATGATTTGTGGACGGTTGTTCCAACATGTGGACGACACGTATGGAGGGGTGTGGGAGGTCAAGAGATGGCGTGGCCAAATGAAGAGCAAAGATTACAATTGAAATGGTTGGGTGGAGCCATTGTTCTATGTTGGTCTTAAATGGCGTCGAACGGAACTGCAATATTCATGTACTCAGTTCTCATCATTGTCACTAGATTTTCCTAAACCTGAGCTTGCGTTGATAGTCGTTCTAGCATTGCACTCCCTGGTAGGCGACCAACCTGAGGATGCCCAAGTCGAAAGTTCTCATCAGGAACCAGGCCGCTTCAAGAGATACTATATAATTCCACAGAAACGAGATCGGAAGGGAGCAGTCACGGAGATTCTCAACTACAAGCTCCGAGGGTCAAATAGACAAAGTTCACAAGCAGCAGCTGAGTACTTTGTAATGTGTTTGTCATTATTTACGGTAGTTTACGGTAATTACAATTCTTAGAGTGAGTGGCATTACTTGTGAAATTTGTGCATGTGTTACATGTATCCACTCTACCATAACTTTGCTAAGTGTAAGACTGCCGGCGCTGGGATGTAAGGATGAAACAATGTGCTCGACCGAAGCACCTGTTACACTTTAGGTACTATGCGCGAAAGCAAGCGCCATGTGCGGCTTTCCACTGTTGAGAGCTCTGAGGAGGGCCCAGGCTGTGAAACTGAAGACGACTGCTTTGTGGGAAGGATGAAAGATGATGAATGATGAACACGACAAGATAACACGATGTACCGGAACGAACAGAGTACACCGAGCAGCTGATCACCCGGCAAAGTGAGGTGGTTGCATTCACAAGCCCACTTGAGCGATGATCAAACTGTGTGAAGCAATGGATTTAAAAGGTATCAAGTGCCTTCCTTACTAGTAGTAACAAGGTTCGCTACTAGGAACAAGTGCATCGCTTCTAGTAACAAGTGCCTTACTAGTAGTAACAATGTTTGCTATTAGTATCGTGTTTGTGTTTTTTCCGCGGGGGGTAGGCCGCTAGTAGCGAGGTAGCTAGTACCTACAAGAAAGCTACGAACTGGACGCAGGATAGCTGCTTCTTCAAGCGCTGGCACTAATGACTTGGTTTCTAGATGTTTAGGGAAACTTACTGTAATGTTCCGGTATCCTTTTCCAAGGAAAATCACACATCACATTACCCGTAGGAACAACAGCAACCTCCTGCTTCTTACAAGCTATCGTTTTAGGTATCGGTTTGGTACCGTGTTTTGCTTCTCTCCAGCAAATTATTTTTTGAAGTGCCATTCGGAACATTACTTGGCCATGTTCAAAGAGCGCAAACCTAGTCATCCTAGTCTCAGTCCATACGTATACTTCATGGCTTAGAAACAGCAGCAAGCAATTCATCGAGATACACATGCGTATCCACTGAAACAGGTGTCGTTGTTCATGTGCTGGTATTGTTTTCCATGGTTTGGAATTCTCTGAACATATTCCCCAAAAAAATATATATAACATTATATTCTCTACTGCTGAGGTGATCCCTTACCTTTTTCGACCATGCACTCGTTTTCGCAAGACTTCGCGGATTCGCTCCGCCAGGCTTCTCGAAGCCTGTCCCAGCGCTCGAATCGCCACAGGACGAGCGATCTCGAAGTGAGTCGAAGACGTTTCAGGGTGAACGATGGTTTTTCATTGTCGACAGAGATGGGTGAAACATATACGTTTCAGCATTTGTTTAGCTTGTAATGCTTTGCAATGAGTAAGAGTTCAGAGTAGTGTTACGAATTTCTTAGAGGCTTGCTCTTTACATCTCTTTACCAGACTTGCAAATAGTTTGACGTGTTGCGATGAAAGGCTGATGTGAAAGGAGTGCGTTGCGGAAACGACACAACCCAACCACGAAGCCATGCTTTAGGTACTGCGTGCGGAAGCAAGCGCCATGTACGGCTTGCTACTGCCGAGAGTTCTGAGGAGGGCCCAGGCTCTAATTTAAAACATCGTGAACCTCTGTACTGTAGCAGACTGCTCCTTTTTGAGAAAGATGAGTGATAGCCATTGCGCTAGCATGAGACTATGACAACATAGTTGTTTGTCAAATTCATTGCGCAAAAATGATTGAATGTGCATATCAATAAGAATAAAATTGTGTGTTCCTCACGTCTCTTCACCCACTTGTCACTACTTAGCTACAAGTTCTTCGCGCTGCACCGCAGGCGAGAAGCCTCAAAAAAAAAGCGCAAGAAGACAGTTCTCCAGAAGAAGCAGGCCATGGCGGCCACTGTTCGAATGCCTTTTTCTCGCGGAAGCGGAGCAGAGGTCCCAGTGCTGAGGTCCGTTGTTTGAGTGCTATAAGTGCTATACTTGCAGCCTTTGATGTTAGGCAGTAAGTACTACTCGACTCGCCACTCAATAGCGCTGCCACGGCTTTTGCGACGACCACTGCTACGACCACCCACCATTGCTAGTACTATGACTACCCCGATTACAACTACCTCCTCCTTTCCATAGTCATAGTCTAAACATTCACCGCGGACCACGGCGCACCGATTCCGCCGTCTAGGTGAGCCGATTGATTCGCCCTTCCGCTCCGTGGCCACCGGTGTCAGCAGTTGGCGCCAGCTGAGCCTTGGCTCCTTGTCCTCACAAGGCGGAACCGAAGCGCCGGCGCCGAGTAGGACGCCGGGTCCGAAACTCAGAAGCAACGACAACCCTTTTGATGGGCTTGTTATTTGTTTGATGAGGGGTTGGGGGTCAATATTTGGTCGGAGATGATCAGAGCACGGCACTTGATGAGTTTGTTTGTTTTGTCTCGGCTTTGATCTGTTCCCATATGGGTAGCCATATTTTCCAAAAAAGGTCAATGCGTTCCCAAGCAGCGTTGCAAAGGCAGAGTGACAGGAAACAACAGTGTAGTGTCAGTGCCCTACTCACAGAAGAAAATCCTGCACCATATTGATCGGATTGTATCTTATACCCTCACTTTATCAGTAATTAATTTGCAAAGGTCCAACTGACCATCCGGCACCATCTGCCTGCATGACACAGCATCGAATAGGGTTGCAAGGCTGTTCATTGGTCAGGCGTACATGAGTCATGTCAGGCTGCCGTGGAGGATGTCTTTCGTCAAGCTTAGTGGTGTTGCTGACTTACCATGAAGCTGGAATGAAAGTTTTAGATCAATTAGATTGAGGTGCAGCGGTACCCAGCGGTGCTTTGGTCCGTTCAGTCTGGCAGGTTTGCCCACCATCTTGACGCACATCTCTGAGAGCAAGAAAGGTATGTGGGTGGATGAGGAGGAGGAGGAGCCTTTGCCTTCGCCCAAGGCAGAACCGGAGCTGCTTGGCGAATTCGATGTTGGAGCATCCTTTTGCTGCTCTTGCCAGCTGCGGACCTTTTTTGATGTCTGGTGAACATTTGATAACATTTGGCCTTATGGGTATTTTTATGAATGCAGTGAGCTCGCATGTAGTGTTGTTGTTTCTGTGTGAATGTCGTGTCCACAAAGGCAGATCCCACTGTCCAACATGGTTCAGCAGACGAACCAAACCACTGTTGATCGCTGGACTATAGTACTTGAGATGAGGCCAGCGCCAAGTCCGAACTGCGAGGCAGCATGGCAAGGCGTGACTGATGACGAGTTACGAGTTGAGTTGCTGGTTTACTTGTGACTTGCTCTTTTTGTTCGGAGAGTGATCTTCAGGTCGTTTTCGTAGGTGTTGAGCTCGTGAAAGAGATGCGAGCCCCTCAACTACAAGCTGCATCAATCATTGGAATACACTATCAGATATCATGCAGCAATGGTACGCCCAGGATGTACCGTTTGCACAGGCACTCTAAGGGGGCAGTAACTTCCCCATATCATATATTACAAAAGGGACTCTGGCATCTCAAGCTTTTGCACTGGTTTTGCCGATCGGATGATGGCGATGTTTTAATATTAGGCTTAGGACTTATTAGCACGAGTTCATTTTACAAAGGCCACTTGGTGATGAATGTTTGATGCTTCAACAAACCGCAAAACCTGGGCTACAAATATAAAATAATATAAACACCCTAATAATCCTAGTTCATGAGCGAGAGGCGGATGGTGCATCTTGGTACTAATGGTCTTGTTGCCCCGGAGTTTGGTTGATGAACATTAGATTCTGGGTTGCAGTATACTGATGCAAGGGTGTTTTTTGTTTGTGACCTTCTACTGAGTATATTGCCGAATGTAGCATTGAACTACGCTAACCCCAAATTAACCTAGTCCGAGCATTTGTTTGCCATTTGACCAGTCAGATTTGGAGTTCATAGTGTTTGTTTGTCTATTTGTTTATTTGCCTAGTTGATGTCATTAAGTTGCTTCATGATTCGCATGTAGTTCTTCAAAACTGCATTGAACATACTGTGTTTTCTTCTCGAGCCTTGTGCTCTTTTTACTGTTCATTAGAAGATGCCTATGGTTGGCAGAACAACAAAACACAAGGTACAAACAAAAGCTGCAGCCCCGTCAACATGCATGTTCTTACTTTGTTTCTACCCCCTTCCAGAAGAGTCTGCAGCTCCGCGGTTGTTATTTGACCCCCCCTCCAAAAAAAACAACCCAGTACTGGTACTACAGATGTTACAGTTGTACTAGTGGAATGAGTCTAGTATAAAATAGTACAAGTGGGATGAGTAGTGCCACTGCTGCTGCTGCTGCTACTACTACTACCACCAGGGCGATTCCCAAACAAAAATCGGCTATAGTTATCATCGCCGGACCCAGGCTAACTCTGTGAATCTTGAAAATAGTATAAAAGCAAAACAATGCGAAACAAAAAGCAACTACAAAAAGCAACACCCAAAAAAAATGCAAATCCAAAAAGCAAAAAACAGCAAATGAAAACGCAAAAGCAATTAAACACAAAAAAACAAGCCACAAAAAAAGCAAATGAAAAAGCAAAAGCAAGAAAAACAAAACAAATCAACAAAAAACAAAAAAACACAAATGAAGAAAGCACAAGCAAAAAATAAGCGAATCCCAAAAAACAGAAACAAGCAGATGAAAAAGCAAAAGCAAAAAAACAATTCCCAAAAGCGAAAGCAAATTTCAACATGTTCGTTGTGTTTTTTGTGGTTGCTTTGTTTTTTATGTTGTTTTCGCTTTGTTGCACGTTCCTTTTTCCGCTTTTGTTTTATCGCTCTTTGCTTGCCCGCATGTTTTTCGCAGTTTGTTTTGTCGTTTGTTCTTTTTTGTTATGTGTTTTTTTTCTGTTTCATTTGCTTAATTTGTTCACCTTTTTTGTTCACTTGTTTTTCACTGTTTGATTTTTCATTTGTTTTTTTTGCTTTTTGGATTTATTATGTTTGCTTTTGCTTTTTCATTTGCTTTTTTTGTGCTTTTTGGGTTTGCTTTTGTTGCTTTTGCTTTTTGTAGTTGCTTTTTTTAGTTTCTCTCTGAAAAACCATCAGAGATAGCCTAAGTATGCCTAAGTGGTTGTCTTAAGGCTATAGCAGTCATGTAGGAAGTTGAAGTTGATTTAGCTGGGAAAGATTAGAGCAAAACCAAACCCAACTGCCGTCACCCGCTTTCATGTTCGGCTTGGAGTTCGGAATCTGTGGTGTAGTTCCACAAGCTCAAGCGCCTCGCCAGGCTCAATGTTCTGTGAAAAAACATAAAAGGTCACTTGAGGCCAAGGGCGGCGAAACTTTATTCCCACGAGTTTTTGTTTTTAAGAATTTTAAGAGAGGAATCCAGGAAGCCACTTTTGTCAAATGCATGTGGGAGTGATCTTCGTCAGCGTGTTTGTGTGCGTGCAGCCAGCCAGAATGCATGAACCCCGCCCCCTCCACCCCACCGATCTTGCAAAGCATTGGTGGATGCGGCATCATCTTCCAAGCACATCCAACACACTACCGCCGACGAGTGCAAAGTGCCCGAAACCTAGTGGCTTCTTGCTCCTAGTAGCGATGCCAGGAGCCTTGCTCCTGGAATCGCCATCACTCTTGGGTCTGGGACACAACATGCTGCGACGATCACCATGCGACGACCAGGTTGACAGTTGGATACATGCGATACTCAAGCGCGCAGGATTGCGCAGAGACATCTTCAAACTCAGGATGACGAGATTGGAAGGAGGTCCTGGAGTGGAATCATGAAGTTCAATAGGGAAGCAGAAGGAATCAGGTCGCTGGCCACCTACTCTTTGCCGTCTTTGGTGTCAGACACTAGACACGTGGAAGCTGCGGTTTTATAGTTTTTCACTGGAAAAGAGCAAAAATAGAACTTCATTTCCTACATGGGCTTGGCTGGTTCGATGTTGTGGGAACCAGACTGAGTGCTACTACTACTACTACTACAACAACTACTACCACTACCACTACCACTACCACCACAACTACCACTACCACTACCACTACCATTAATACTACTACTACTACTACTACTACTACTTCTACTTCTACTACTACTACTACTACTGCCACTACTACTGTCTAGCTGCCTATCTTCAGCAACCTCCACCACATCCTAGAAACGACAATTTGAGCCTCGCGTCTTTTTCCAGACCCCAAAAACAAAAAGGGTTGTTATCTCATGTTATCTCTACCCCTCCTAAAAACAAAGACTGCAGCCCCGTTGTTTTGTTTTTGCACCCCCCTCCAGAACAACATCCAAGCTACAAAAGGCGGAGCAAATGAGACTTGAGTGGAAACAACAATATATCCAGCTACTTACGAAACCTGCAGAGGTATCCCTAATTTTGTCCTCTTGAAGTTCCAAAGTTACAACATGTGACGACTATGTTGGGCAGGTGCTTTTGTTTCTACCACCACCAACAACAGCAAGAACAACCACCACCACCACCAACAACAACAACACGCACTTTGACAGGGTCGCGCTGCTTTCATGACAGATGACCTTAGGGCACCAGAAGCTTTGTGTCAGGCAAGTATTTGATCAATGAGAGGTAGTCAGTACACACAGTTTATTCCGAGTGTCACTCATTCACTATAGTAAAAACATACAAAAACAATTGCATTGTTTTGAAGTGGGGTTGCTACGCCGCTACGCGTTCTTGTATGGTGATCTTTGGATGTTACGCCATTGCTACTACGGTCGGGTGGACTTGGCTTTGGAATTTTGCAAAGACAGGCGGAGCTGGTGGACAGAGCGGACTTCCTGCACCGCTGGTGATCTCTATTCCGCCAGGTGCGGAGTGATGGAAGGCCAATCAAGGCATGTAGAGGCCTAGAGAATGGAGTTGTCACATGCGGACCACCGTTTTCGGCCGGATTCTTTTGTGAACAGGGTGCACGCAGCATGTTACAAGAGTTTTTCAATGAGTAGTACGTAGAACACAGGGATGAAATAGTTTCCTTATATAATTGTTGTAGTGGTTGGAGTTCTCGGTGGTATAGTATAGTCTAGGCAATTGTAAGTAGACATACCTTTTAAGCAGACCGCTCCGCTCCATGTGGATTTCAGAGGTCATGGTGATGCCAAGGACAAGGGCACCAAGGGCATGCTGTAGATTTCAGTGCCCATAAAATCTTACCGACATGCCTTGCCAGGATCATAAAGCCAAACACGGAACATGGAACCAAGACAACAGAAAACAATAGTGCAAGTGCAGAATTTGATCAAGAGGAGTTGAACCGTCTCTGACAGAATGAGTACCTCGGTCCAGAATGCACCTCGGATTTTTATCCAAAGAGTTGGTCAAGTAAGTTTGGCTCCTGACTGCTGTTGAACAATTGGTCGAATGAACAAATCGTGAATCAAGACAGAACCCTTGTCAAGGTATGTTGTTTGGCGGCTTGTAAGCCTTGGCATTTGACTATACTAAGAGAGGCGAGTGGAAAGTTTAAGTGATCGAGTCACAAGTGAAGAAGATTCATCGTGCAAGTTTGCAGGACAACGAACCGCCCAAGCTGGACGAGCGGGACTACCGCATGCTTTGGGAAGCTGTTGTGCAGGCAGGACGGTCATTTTTGCACAGGAAGACGAGTTTAACCCTTGAGCATGAAGATTTTCTGGGTTTCCTTGGCATTCCGGCAACTGTGCGCTCAGCTGCATTGTATGTTGTTCCCTCACATTTGAGTATAATAGTAGTGTTTCTCCTCCATTTAGTGTGTATTTTGAGGGACAAAATCATCCAAGAGTCAGCCCTGAAACTCAGAGGACTTGTTGCACAGGGATGCACACCCATCCAATTATATAATTGTGCAGATTCCACGCAGATTTGTCAGGATTGCTCTGTCGGAGTACTTTGCACGGTTTTTGTTATGATGTCGGACCCTTTCCAAAAGTAAAAGTACCTTGAGAGTCAAAAGAAGTCTGAGATGCAGCTCTGAAAGATTGCCAAAGACTCAACACAAGACATCTATTGATTTGTCCATCAATCTGCTGATTTCACCATTGGAGGTATTCTAGTCCTTTCCCTGGAAATCTAGGAACCAAATCATTAGTGTAAGCTATCGTGCTGCCAGTTACTGGAAACAAACCTAAGCTACTAGCTAGATCTAGCTAGCTACCTCTTCCTTTATCCAAGGCCTACCCCCCCGGCCCAAAAAAACAACTATTTTAGATATACAGTATATATGAATACTAGTAGCGGGCCAAAAGAAATCGTTACTGAATCTTCTACCTCCATGGGGTCGTGGTGGAGAATGAGCTCTTCACTCTCGGACAGGGCCACGTGTCTGTGTTGCAGCAGTTCATGGCGCGAGGAGAGAGACTTGCGCTTTCCGTCAGACGCTGTCCGTGTTTTTGGCGGCAGGTCCATGAGGATCGTCTTCATTTCGGAATGAACCAGTACCAATTTGTTCCTACTCGTAGTAGCATCTTGCTCCTAGTCGCAAGGCCAGGAGCCCCTAGTCCTAGTAGTACGGACAGGAGCCCCTAGTAGCGTTCTTGCTCCTAGTAGCGATGCCAGGAGCCCCTAGTAGTTTCTTGTGTTTGTTTGTCCCAGATTGGGCAAGCTTGTGGGGTTTGGGATGGTTTTGGCTTTGCCAACATAGTGCATCAAACTTATCATTGTTCTGAATCTCTGAAAGGCTGCCCTAGTCCCTGGTGCATTTTTATGCGTACTATTTGATACTATGTAACAGCTAATCACCCACCCAAAGCACCTAAAGGATGAGTTGCTTTTGTGGATGTGGTTGCGATGCAGGGCTTCTCCAAAGTGGCTGCCTTTGCGACATGAATGGCCACAGCATCTTTTGGACGCTTGACCGTATCATGTCATTGAATGGTACTAAGATCATGCCCTTTGGATGCTACTTGGTCAATGAAACTTGCGGCAATAAGGCTGTAAGGTGTCATTCAGGTGTCAAAGTTCCCATACGAGCGCCTTAGGAATGCCTTGGCATACCAACAACAGCAGGTGGGTGCAACTTTTGACAGACACCGACAACAGAAGTTGGGAGTGCCGTATCGGCAACAGCATGCCGTAACATTCATCAAACGAATGCATTGATCGCAGCATGGAATGCACATGAATGCGCTTGGGCAAAGGAAACCGTTTGAATCCACCGAAAGCAACATCCATGTCGGAGGGGTATCTCCGTTCGGAGATGCGACTCGTTTGGACACAGAGGTGGCCATGTTCTTGCTGCAGCACTTTCCACCAGGACAGCCATTTTGCCAGATGTTTCATAGTGTTTCATGTCATTTGGCAATGTCCCCAGTTGCTTCCACGCTTGAAACAGTCATGGGTCAAGCCAGAAGCCATCAGAAGCCCAAATGCTTGGGGCTCTCAGGAACTCCCGAGGGCATTGACCTGATGGAGGCCCCACTGATCGACACCACAAATCGCCGGACACCTTTTTGACCGGTGGCCACATTATGATCATTATGAAGTATTGTAATTTTAACATATTGTAACTTTGTAAGTGTTTGTTTGTGTCCCCGTGACAAACCAGGAAAGTAAGTGCAGTAGGCCCCACATTCACCTGGCCACACCCTCAACTCGGACGCCGTATTTATACTCCAGAAGGATTATTGATTTTTCTTAGCAGGTGTTACAGCATCTCTGATCATTCATATACACTATGTTTGCATCAGCCGCAGTTGAATTGGCAAGTCCATTTGCGGCCAGTTTTGTTCCTTTTCGATGTATGTATATATATATATATGCAATATCAACAACACTGAATCAGCTTTGGAGGGAGCAAATTCCACCGAGTGAGGCGACATAAGTCTTGCAGCATTCGAAGGAGAAACACTTTTGTCCTGGTGATGTTTTTGGTCCATTTAAGATCTTGGTCAGTTGACCAGCTGACCATCTTTGGATTTGCTGAAGTGACCCAAAAAGCTTAAAAGAAAAAGCTAAAGCAGAGACTTGAATCCAACCCAGAGTGGACACTCAGTGCGGCTAGGTGGGCACTCATCGGCCCGCTGTTTAAGTACATGCTAGCAGGTGGTAGACCGCAACATATTTGAATGCAGGGAGATTGGTCGACCCTCCTCAACCATTGCCATTATTTGTGAGGTTGCAGATTCATGCAGATTCCGTCATGCGAAAGCTCCAACAACTCGAATCATCTCGAATCTATGTTGAGGGAAGGGTATCAACTTTGCTATGTTGGCGCTCGAAACGGAATTGTAGTTTAGCTGCTTTAGCTCCACGCACACAAAAGTGCATGCTTCAGCTTCAGCCCAGATCCATGCTCGGCGCAAAGATACACTGCTCCACCTTTGTCGGCGACTTAGCACACGTGTCACATCATTGCCTTAAAGACACATAGCATGATGCAGAGACTTAGCAGTGTCCAGAACTGCTGAATGGTGGCTGTGACTGCTGGCCAAGTGGAGAAACAAATGAACAAAGCTGCAAATACAGCAACCACGCTCCACTGAGGTGTGTACTTCGAGGACTTCTCAGTCAGCCATGGCTTGTTACGTGCCCTTTTTTCTTGCACGTGAAGAAAGATTCCAGCCAGGGACCTGCTGCTGAGCTTTTCAAGTCACTTTTCTTAGGCACATCACGGCACATCCGTCGTTGTTTTGTGAGGGTGTGTGTCAAACAAGCTACTAGTAACCAGTAACAAAGAGCATCACTACTAGTAGCAAGAAGCTACTAGTAGCTCCGGGCATTACTACTAGGAACAAGAAGCTACTTGTCAAACCCAATCCTGACATATGTGTTTTCTTGTTGGATTGATGTCGTGATCAATGTTGGGTCAAAGACGGAGTCAAGCACGGAAGAAGGGCAGCGGTATCACTCTTTGGACCATGTCCTATTGGTACCCCAGAGCAACAAAGCTGGATGTTTGCTAAGTGAGATTTCTCAGTGGACTTGTGATAGGCACAATAAGTCTTTAGTTTGGGTGTTTTGCTTTGCAAGTGTTCGACATTTTTGAGGCAGAAATTGGGCCAAGATGGCCAAGCCTTGAATTGTCACTTACATGGCATGGCTCAATTTGGAGTTGAGACATGTTGGTGACATCAGTGATTCTTCCAAACTAGGGGGGGGCAGGGCAGCGACACAAAGACAGAACAAGACATTTTAGGTGGCGACGCGTGATTTGCAGGATGGGTATGGACCTGATTGAAGTAATGCCAGATTCCTCCTTTTCCTGACCACGACCAGCAGACACAATTAGCAGTCAGAACCACGGCAAGACTGGAGGCATGGGTCAAATGCATGCAAATCCATTGCAGGTGGGCGGTGGGGGACACCTGTGTTGACAGTTCTTTGTGCTTTTGCTAAAATTTATAGTCTATTTAGTGTCCTAAGCTGGACAAGTTTTGACCATGCTGCTGGTTGTGGGTTGGTTTGATGCAAGCCTAATGCCAAATGAGGTTCGAACATCCATAGATATCCATAGATTTGGGCTTCAGATGGCTTCAGGATGCTTCAGGAGTCTTTGCAACAAATGAAATGTACAAGTCGTTGTTGACTTTACGTTTTGCAGTTGTTTGGTTTCTAGAGGACCCTTTCCAAAAAAAGATCAGTAGTTTTGAACCTTGAACTGCTTCTTGGAACTACATGTGGGTACTGCGATATGTTGAGATAGACTCCACACAGATTCCCTGGTCAGCAGCTGCCAGATTTGTGGTATGTAATATGAAGAGTTTCATTCTTCCTGGTTTATGTGTTTGATGCCAGTTGTGGTTTTTCAAGTTTTTGTTCATTCGTTTTCACTAGTGTATTTTTTAATTCGGGTCTATCAAGGGTTCGGCGTTTGATTCATGGCTACAATAGACCTTGGGCCCTGGTGGTCTTGTACATGTAGCAGAGGCTTGGAGCAGAGCCAATGCTGACTCGGAGACCTTCTTGCATTGTGCAGCAGTCAGGTCGCTTACAAATCAGAGACGTGGACCAACCAGACGTGGGCCATTTCGCTCTGACTCGAAAGGATTCGCTCTTTCCTAGCCTAAGTGTCTACACCTTTAAGTACACCTTTAAGGCTTTGCCAAAGGTCTTTGGCATTGGTCGCCAGGAGTTCTTGGGGTGTCGAAATCTGAAAATTTGGGACTAAGGCCAGAAGAAACTTCTGGGTGATGCGCTTTGTTGCGCCTTTGCCTTGGTGAGACGCCTTTGCAAAACTTCAGTACCGATGCTAATGAAACGAATTGCTTTCCTTGGTTGCAAGAACGATAGCTGCAGATTGCTGATGCCACTAGTCTTTTCCGGTCATGCACAGGTCGCATGCTTGGGAGTTGCTTTTTCAGCAAAGCGTGAGAGCCAATGCTATCCAGGCAGGCCTTTAGCGGGATCATGGGATCATGTTGTGACTAAAAGGCAAGGATGCATTTTGGAGCGAAGCCCAGGCCCACTTGCGACTGAGATATTTGAGCAGATGCTTTCAGATTGTTCATGTTGACTCGATTCTTAATGCACCTTTTGACTTGCCCAGCGGTATGCAACATGTTTTCACCAAACATGCGAGGTCTTGCTTGAGAAGCTGGAAGAGGCAGATGATAATCAACATGCTGGAGACTGCCTTTTTGGACATGACATGGTGCCTTTGGGGTCCCCACCAAAGTGTGAATCGTCTAGGGATTTCTGTGATTTGAACATTTGGTAGAATAATGTATATACATAAAATCTATGAAGTGAAAGATACCAGGACGTGTTGGGGGGTTGCTTGTTTGAGAGGATGGTGCATGCTTGTAAAGGGCTGGGATGCGCAGTTTCCACGCAAGAAAGTCATTGACTTTGAAGGGCACCCGATCAAATGTTGAGTACCGTGTATACTCCGTGCACCAATCAATGCTTGATACCACCAGAGAAAACATAGAATACCGGGTTACATGGCTTTACAATCATCCATATTTGTCCTTCACTGACGTTGGCAGATGAGTAGGTGCGAAACATAAAGGATGTGATTCCACTATGGTGCCATTTGAAGCAGGAGTGGGTCAAAGCTGACCCGAGGCCCTAGGCGAGACTTCCGAAAATTCAAGGAATTATAGTAGGTCTCCGTGTCCTCCGGAAGATCCCAAGACAGTCGAGGATTCGAGCACTTGTAGTCGACAAGATGCTCGCGTAGTGTTCCTGTTCGTCCAGATCGTCCAGTGAAAAATACACCTGAACATCCTGAACTCCATCAAGAGTTCATTTCGGGATATTTCGGGGGTGAATGGGGTTTACGGATGATCCCACAGCCAAGCAATCAATCGAGAAGATCAGCGAAGATCAGCATCAGCTTGGCAACAACCTTTAGCCGGACCAGGTTGGAGTGGTTCGTCCAGCGGCCGCTGCTCCTGATGTTGAGGCAACTCCTTTCATTCAAGTTCTTGACTCATTCCCCATTCTTATTGGGGTTTTAGCAGTCAAATTTGCATCGTATGTCAAGCAATTCACATGTTCAAGGTTCTTGCTCCAGCCAAATTGACTATATAGTCCAACAGAGTCCAAACGCCACCAGATGTACTCGTACCTATATGTGGGAATTGGATGCCAACTGCATAGGATCAAGAAGCTACTAGGGGCTCCTGGCATCGTTACTAGGAGCAAGGACGCTACTAGGGCCTCCTGGCATCGCTACTAGGAGCAAGGACGCTACTAGTAATGTACGAACAAAGCCTCAAAACATCTGAAAACACGAGGTACCGCAAACATGGATGAACTTTGCGCAGCCGATCGCTTAGACTTGAAATGGCATTTGTTTGGTTCATCCTTATGAGAAGCAACCATTATTTGAGTCTTGGGGGTGTTGTGGTGACACTTGTTTCCATATTTTGAAGGCACTTCTTTGTTGTGCTTTGTTGGAGCATATTGATGGTTTCCACAAGCATTTTTATGTTTGTTTGTTGTGTTACCTTACAGTAGGTATTTCATTCTATGATGGCTTCGAAGCTGTCAACTTTGGACCTGAAGAACACAGATTGCCGGGCCCTGCCTTACCATACATAGAAAACGGCTTCGTACAAAGATAAGAAGTGCAACTCCAAGGTATTTGCCGCATCGCGCAGAAAGAGGATCGGCCTTTGCAGATGTCGAGCTCGAGGTAGGAATGGCAGAGTGATCCCCTATTGAACTTGTGAGACCAGCTGATAGTGTCATTGCATGTCATTGCTATGCATATCGTTCCTTTTTTGTCAGTTTTCCAGGCAATACCCCGGCAACAGCAACCGGGGTAGAAGAAGTTGCCGGCAAATTTCACTTGTGTATCTCACGTATCAACACAAGATTGACTGAATATACTGAATTCAAGACAGCAATTGTGACGATGCCGATGGGAATGATGCTGCTGATGATGATGTCGTTGATGAGGATTGTATGGTTATATAATATATATACGCCAGTACAATATGTGGAGGCCGGGCCCAGGGCACCCCCTCCAGAGGTAGTGTATAATACCTATTCTATCCGCATGTTTAAGGTCCGCATATGGCGTTTCTAGCGGGAATACAGAGTCAAAGCCACGCCCCAAGCATGCCACGAGTGCTGGTCAATTGATTCATTTGAGTCGACGTTTTCTAAGGGTAGGGAATCGGAACCGAATCGGTGGCCACCCTGCCCGGCACGGTGGCAAACCTTTGCAGCGGCTGGCAGCTCCGGAGGCCTTGTGCAGTAGGTCCATCCACGTAGGCCTGGCTGAGAGCCTCCACGTAGGCCCTCTTAGATCTATAGGCCCCCTCCCACGTAGCCTCCTGACCACATAGGCCTTTCCACATTGGCCCTTCCACATAGGCCGCCTTCTCTGTCTGGACATGAGCACTTTCTCCTATCACTAAGGCACCAAAGCCTCAGAGACTTGCAATAAGCCCATCAAATTGAGTTCATCAACCCTGATCGGGGCCAATTCATATGTAGCTGAACGCTTGCTTTGTGCGCCATGGTTAGCTGGAGCATGTGGACGGCCAGGCCACGCTGTCCGTGTGGTTTGCCGAAATCCTTGGTAGTTAGAGGTGGCTGCGCTGTGGGCCCTACTGCAATCCTGCCAATGGGCCTTCCTAGGCCCATCCACATAGGCCGCACGCCCTTCGCGTGGAGCCTAGGTAGGCCCTTAGCCTTTGTGGGCCCATGGCCTCTTGGGTTCGTCTGTTGGAGAGTTGGCCGTGGCAAGTCTGGTGGGCCGCCCCGTGGAGAGTTGGCCGTGGACTATTTGGTTGCGTTGCAAAATAAAAGTGCTTATGTGGAGGGCTGCCTGGGCAGTGTCCGAGAGCACGTGGGCAAGTCTAGGACAGATCGCAAAAAAACTCTTAGGGGAGTTGGCCTGTGGATCATTGGGGTGGACGGCACAGAAAAAGTCCATCCAGGGCTGGCCTGAAAAGCCTTACCCGAGCACTGGTCTTTGGGGCACAGGGTTGAAAGAAAACTCCTTGGGGTTGGGCCGGGTTGCTTCGTAGGTCTGGGATGGATCGCAAAGAAAAATCCCTATGTGGAGAAAATGCTTGTTGGGTGTGGATTGCAACAACAACCCTAAGTGGAGGGTTGGGTTGTGGCATTCCACTGCATGAAACATCATGCAGCGTCTTCAATTGGCCGGCCTGGCGCCTGGCTGTCTTTACCCTTGCAGGCTGCTTGCTGGGTTTGCTGGCCCCTCCGCAGCCGCGTGTTCATCTCCGGATGTCTCTTTGGCTGGGCGGGCCAGGCAAATCCCTCACGGAGGTGCTCTAAACTTAGGTGTTGGCTTGTTTTTAAACCGGCATATGTTTTGGTCATTACTATGAATGCGAACATGATGTAGGGGATGATGATGGATGATGTAATCGTGATGACGTCCAATTTGGGACGATGGAAGACGATAGCGATGGGTTCCAACCTAAGAGCGGCCAGGTGCAGGAGTCGTCGACTTGCTATCGGAGCATCGCTGCGCATCGCTGCGTGCTCGGAGCTGCCTCAGGCGATCCGCTCGGGCGGTCGGTGGATGTCGGGTACAGTACATCGGTTGATGTTGGTGGGGTTGGGGCCGTTTCATTGAATGACCGGAATGACTCAGTTTCGGAGCAACTTGATGCAGCACTATGCAGCATGTGCTTGAGATTTTTTGAGTATTTGGGCCAGTGGCATTTTGTAGAGTGCAACATTGGTGTGCAGGTATGTTCCAGGATTTGATATTTTAGGTGCCAGATGGTGCCAGACACATTCATGTTATTGTTACGAGTCTACTAGTACGGGACCCGGGACAATTCCCAACACCAAAGCACCTGTGAGACTTTGCGCGTTTACCTGAGTTGTCAGCACTCAACGGACAATTGCAAAGTGCTTTGGCTCAGAGGCATGGCAGGAGGACTCAGAACCCACGCCAAGAAGACCCCCATGTCAACCAGATTGAACCCAGCTTTGATGAACAAAACCACATGCAATAAGATGGAGGCATATAGGGAGAGTCTTGTGAAATGATTTGCCCATTTCTACCTACATGTCCAGAATGTTGTAGAGCCTCAAAAGAGGGAAAAATGGAAACGACGAGGACAGCACAATGGAACAGCGACGGTTTGAACGACTCAATGCCTCGAGGATTGCACAAACCAAAACCCTTGCACCCTGTAGCCCATTTGTGCTCGCATGCGGCGCGAAGCTGGAGGCCTTGAAGTTTCTTAGTCTTTGCAGGCAGTGGTAACTGGAAGAAGCAGAAAACAAATTGAAACTCATCGTGCAACCCAGCTGCAGAATGTGTCCCGTGAAAAAAATGCACAAGTAGAAACAAAAGGCATCAAAAAGAAGACAGAAGAAAACATTGTTCAGGACACAGGCAATACTTGTAATATATATGCAAATATATTGCCTCACAGCATCTTGCTGCTCACTGACACGCTGTCAAAACACTCTGTCTTTTGATACCCTTTTAGGTTGGAGGCCATCGCTATTAAGTTGGATGCCGTTGATATTAGGTTGGAGGCCATTGCTGCTAGGGTGGAGGCTATCACGTTTGGGTAGGCCATCGCTATTAGGTTGGAGGCCATTGCTACTGGGGTGGAGGCCATTGCTATTAGGTTGGACGCCATTGCTGCTGGGGTGGAGGCCATTGCTATTAGGTTGGAGGCAATTGCTACTAGGGTGGAGGCCATTGCTATTAGGTTGGAGGCCATTACTAGGGTGGATTCCATTGCTATTGGGTTGCAGGCCATTGCTATTAGGTTGGAGGCCATCACTACTAGGGTGGAGGCCATTGCTACATATTGCTACTATGGTGCCGACTGTGCCGACAAAGGCCATGGGTGTTGCCCCCTGTGCTGGCGAGCACGTGCCCGCTGCTGAGAATTGAAGTGAAATCACGCTGACCTACCAAGCCTTAGGACAGTGAGACAGGTCTATTGTGACCAAACAGTCGTGTCTCACTGCATCTTTTGGCACAGTGACACACTCATGGAGGATTGAGAGAGAGGACTGTCTCACGGACTCACATTTGCTTTCAAAGCTGTTGCCGTTTGTGACAGAAAACTGAGTTGATTTATGTTGATTTATGGTTTTGTTCCTAGGACCTAGGATTTGCAGTACGGTTCGAAGGACGGAGTTCCAAATGGCCAAGGAAAAAAACAAACAAATCCAGACGTTCAATATCACTCTCTTGCGGACGAGTCAGGCGCCGCAACTGTGGACACAGCTTAGCGATGTCGCACAGCAAGTAAGGCCTCTACATGCCTCCATCAGGGCCATGAACGAGCGAGGTCGCGAGAAAATCTCAAAGGGGATCTTCGACAAAAGGCCAGCATGGACAAGTGCACCTTGTCCGCCACCAACACCGGCCATGGCACTATACAACCCGGTAAGGCCATCACGATCCCACTGGAAGGTCTGGAGACCCGAATCTTCTCAAACGAACAATCAACCGCTTGCAAAACAGCATCAAACCAAAGCCTAAAAACAGAAACTTGGGCAGCAAGAGTCCTACCAAAAAGATCTCCAGCCTCAAGACCTGCAACATCCATCCAGTGTTGAGAAGTACTATCAACACAAATGGGCAACGAAACCTTGGTGAAAACAGAGAAACCAAGAAAAATCTCAACAAAGGACACCGGAGTAAGATACTCTGCTTGCAGGCTTAAGGAAACCAACCAAGATTGAAGCGCCTCAGCAAATTGAATGCCAAAGCGCTGCAAAAACAAATTCTTCTGCAAAGCCGACCGGACGTCAAGTGGCTGATCCTCCACAAAGTCCTGGTCATTGACCAAAAAGGAACTAAAAACGAAACTGTCTGTACACGGCTCAGGTTGCGCGCTCAGTTCAGCAGCTAGGCCATGCTCTGCTAGGTCCAGCAAGAACAACTGGTACTGCCGACTCAGGCGACAGTGCTCCACATGCATCTCCATCATAGCATCATAAGCTTTCCGCAATGAGCTCGGTAGTGCAGTCAAACGTGCAGCAGCCGCAGCCAGATCGACCACCGAGTTGTGATGGATACACCAGGCTGCAAATGACGAATCGGCATGCTCTATGTTCAAGTGCGAACAAACCTTAGTCACTTGAAGCCAAGGCACCTGGGGCAAACATTGGACAATACGTTCCCAGAGATCTGCATGAGCCCAACTCCAAGAAACCATATGTCCAGCAAGAAGGCGCTCAAGTCTGCTGACTACAAATGCAGAATCGCAATAAAGATGAATTGGCACCACATGAAACGCAGCCCAAAGAAGCGATTGCAGCACTGCATAAAGCTCAGCCCTTGCTATGCCCTGCCAGCGCCCAGGTAAAAGACCACTTGCAACAATCTGAGTACTGTTAGCAAGCTCAAAAGCCCATGATGAAAGCTGACCAATAGGATGAGTGGGCAGCTGACATGACCCATCCGTGAAGATATGTTGGACATCTCTCCCAACCGGTTCACAGTGCCAAGACACAGGGACATCAATCAGACGCTCAAGCGCATCATGAAATCGTGGAATCCATTCATTCGCAGGAGTCCAACCATGATGAGATAAGGCGACAGGCACATCTGACCACATAGTCCAGCAGTCAACATGGCGCTCCCTGACAGACTGGAAATACGAGCACTCACAGGCCCGATGCTCCATGGTGTCTAGCGACTGCAAACAAAATGGGCAGAGCTCTGAGAAGCCTGGGTCAAATCTGGCCTTGAAGCTGTGAAGGAAGAAAGTGCCATCCCGAATGGTGGATAGAAGCTCACGCTGGGACACCGAAAGATTCTCAATGCTCTGGAAGGTAGCACTGTAGTCCAGACTGGAGAGTCCTGCAAAATCATGTCGGTGAAAAACACCTCGAGCCACAGACTGCTGCCAATCCTCAAGAAAAAGTGCCAAGAGGTGGGATAGTGGCAACCACACAAGATCATAGCACTTGCCGGCAGAAGTGTGAAGCTCCAGATCCGATGCAATAGACCAGTTAAGAATACCACAAATACGCAGCAGCTTTCCAAAAGGACCATGTGTTGCTTTACCTCGGTAATGCTGCACATAGTCTCTCCATGCTGAGCGAAAAGAGGCATCTGAAGTGCAGTATCTACCAAAAGTCACAATGCATCGTCGAAAATCATAGTACATGGGATCAGTAAGAGGATTCTCCACCAAAGAAAGCCTGACAGCAGGATTGGCACCAGCTCGCTGTGTACCTAAGCTGCGCATGGCTTGTGTCCGAAGCTGCTTGTACCATTGACAGCCAAGGAATGTCTGTTCAGCCCCATGAAGCGATCTAGGAAGCAAAGCAGTCCTAAGAAGCTGAGCTTTCAAACACCGTGGCAACTGCATCCGAGCAAGACGCTTCCAGTGCACAAGCGAATCAACAATTCTCTTTTGCAACTGACTGTTCCGATGACGAGCTCCATATTGCATTTGCACCCCAAGATCCTTAGCAGATTCAACGGCAGCAAAGCCTTGAGCACACAAGAGATGCCGTAATGAAGCAGTTGTCCCCCAATATGTACTCTTTGCAGAATCAATCTGAAGTTGCAACATATCAGCCCAGGTTTCAGCAACCAACTGACCCTGAATGAGAGAACCAACAGATTGAGACACCAGCTGCAGTTTGTCGACGTATGAAAGCTCACGAATGCCCGGGGCAAACTTGCTCATGTAAGCATGGAACACAAAGTTGAGCAGGACCATGCCTACGCAGCTCATGCTGTCACCTTCCGGTAGGCCTGTGTCACTACCCACCGGATCAGAAAGGGCCTCTCGCACCCGAAAAGAGCGGCGCATACTCGTCAGAAATGAGCTCCAGGCTACAATAGTTGTGGGCGCAATTCCGTAGAGCCTAGCCAGGAATCGAACTGGTAGACGTGGTATGCAATTGAAGCACTGACGGATATCCAAGAGCACCCCAACATAGTGCTCCTCAAGGAGCTGCTGACACCTGAGGAGGCCTTTTGCCTACCATAGGTTGGAGTTGCTGGGCTCTTCCTTTGCAGCGGGCCGGAACCCTCGAAAGATCACGCAAGAATGCAGGCTGAAGACTATCTTCAACAGAAGCAGACCAAACCCGCAAAGAAGTAGTGGTGTCTGATGTCCAGGAAAAAGGCCTGTGACGAGCACCCACCGATTCATGCCATGCAGAAATACTGACATGCTCCCAAGGCATAGGTGTAGGGAAGCGCCACATCTTGGGAAGTTCAGGCACCATAGGGATGGCAAAGATGCCTCCAAGACAAGCATGATCTGGATAGTAGTGGTCCACATAGTGCACCGACTGTAGGACTTGCCAAAGTTCAGGCGATAGCCAAAGATAATCTCGAACAGTCACAGACTTGCAAGTAGGACGAATGCGCTGTAGCCAGGTCTCCCAAGCATAAACCTGAACTTCCCTCCATCCATGTGAAAGCAAATAATCCGAGACAGCAAAGTCAGACAAGTCGGCATTCCAATCACCGCCAAGATAGCGAGGTCCAGTCAAACGTTCAACAAGATGTTCAGCCACTTGATCGAGTATGGCTGCTGTAGATCGCAATGG